AGGTCCTAAGAAGGAGAGGGGTGACCCTCTCCCTTGTTGCCTTGTTTGTTGCCCTTTTTGGCCTTCCAAAGGGGCTCCTATTTGCATGCTTCCAAGCCTTGTTTCAAGCATTTTTCAGTGGGTTTTAGGACCCCCATAAGCCATTTCTAGAGTTGGTTTGGTCTTGTTGAATGTCCTTATTGCATGTGTAGAGTAACCCTCTTGTTGGCCTTTCAAAGGAACGCCCCATTCTAGCATGTGTGGACCTTGTTTCCATGGGTTTTTGGGGCTTATTTGACATACCATGTTACTGTTTTTGCTTGGTTTAATGGTCCCTTGCATGCACCTTACACTTGCCTTGCATTCCTTTATTTTGCCTAGAAAGGCATCTTGCATTTGGACCACCATGCTTGCATGTTTTGGCTTAGCTTTGTGAAGTTTTTAGTCATGTTTTAACATGTTTAAGTTCTGTTTGGTGTCGTTTTGGTCATGCTTGCCATGCTTTGTATAGTCTCTTTGCCTTCTAGCTTGTTAGCCTTGGGTGTGTGTGTCACTAGCATGCTTTACTTGGCTTGTTCTCATGATTTGGCATCATTGGAGACCATATTTCAGTCCATGTTCCATGCTTTCATACTTGCATTTTCCATCCCTTTTCATGTTTGGAGAGTTGATAGCTTATGCTCCATGTTTAGGCCTTTGTGCATGCATGCTTGTGTGTGAGTTTTCATGCCTTTGTTACATCATTTTGGCCACTGATTTTGGCATGCTTAAGAGCTACCTATATTAGTTTGAGTCCATCTTTGCATGATGTTGCATGCTTATCTTGCATATTGTCACATCCTTGTTCCATTTTACATGATTGTTGCATGCTATAAATATTCACATGTTCATGTTGCATACTTAGCTTCTATGCCTAGGTTGCATAGTATTTTGTATGCATGCCTTGCCTCTTGAATCACCATGATAGAGGTTGGGCTTTATGTGTTTATTTGGTTTGCTTGTCATTTGAAATCAAAATGCACAACTTGGTTTTTTGGGCCATCACGCATTGAAGTGCGCGATTGGTGGTCCGAGAATCGAGTACCGCCCCCCCTTTGAGTCATAAACATGATAAGGGGTGTGGTTGTGCACACATTTGCTTGAAATGCATTGCCATGCCATGTTTTGTCCTCTGCTGCTGTCAAACCAGTTTCTTCAGGAAGATTTGGCCGGCCGGCCGGCCATCTTCAGTGCCGACCGGCAAATAGTGTTGGCCGATGGATCAATTTTGTGGCCGGTGATCATTTCCCTTGGCCGGTGGCCATTCCCCTCAGCCGGTGGTGTTCCACAGTGTGCAGAGAGCATATCCTGGGACTTGTACAATTTTCAGAGGAGTAGAGCAGGGAAAACAGAGGCAACTTGTGCATGGTGGCGGATTTCCGAACAGAACCGAGCACGCATTGGATTGGACCCTCTTCCCAAGGTTGATTTTATTGCTTAATTAGCTTAGTTAATTTGCTTAGTTAATTTGCTTAGCTAGTGAATTGTCTGTAATAATTAATTAGCTTGATAGTTAGTTAATTGTATTATTCTTTTGGTCCCTTCGAGTGAGGGCTAATTTGTAATAAGTGTGGGTGCGTGTGTGCATGTCTTCCAACCCCCATTTCTTTCTCCCTTTTACTTACCCGCTTTGATGGTTAGTATTAGGACACGTTTAATTTAGCATACCTTATGCAATGCATGCGTGCATTCATACATTTGTCTAGCATGCACCGGGCTCGGCGCATCATTCTAACTGCATTTGTATTTCAATTCCAAATTGAATACGTGATTAGTTGTAGCATTTCACATGTCATTATAGATTAGCCGAGCCTATCTTAATCACATTCTGTATGCGTTGCATTAGCCACTTTAACATGAACTAGGATCACGCATGTTTGCTAACTAGTTTATTGTTTTGGCACGGAGTACATTGTAAGTATTTATGTTTTAGCATACCGCATGCGTGTGAGTGTTGCCATAACAGCATGATTACCATGAGGCTAGCTGCTTATGTGATATAACTGCTTGGATGCTTGTGGATGGAGGTTGAATTACCTAAATTGGAATAATGCATTAAAACTGTGAGTTTTTAAGCCCACTAGATAGTGGCAAAACCATCTTTTCTAAAGCCCACTTGAGGGTAGCAAAACTTGCATTTTAGCCTACTTGCGAGTAGCAAACCATTTTCAAAACAAACATGCAATGTTTTGTTCCAATTTAGGCGATTTGGTCTATACTTGTTTGCTGTGCGCATAATATAGTAAATCTAGGCTAATAACCGGAATAAGAACACATAACGTTTTCAAAAACGGATATCACTGTTAGTAGAGGCCGACCTTCGGATCGGGCGAGAGGGGGTGCTCATAGCTGACCTTCCCCAATCGTACCCAAGCTCCCGAGCCGAGGCAACTTTGGTGATGACGGACACGTGGCCTTTGGCACCGAGTCAGGGTTTCCTAAATTCTCCCATAAAAAAATATTTAGGTGGCGACTCTATATCTGGCAAAGCAGTCCATGTTTGGCACTTCTTTTCTAAAAATCTATTTTTCTCAAAACGATTTGCCGGATTTGGACTTTTTGGTTCAGATTTAGAACCGTGACAATTTGAGAGTCCGAACTGTAGTGAGCCCAAAGCGAACAAAACGGGACTCACCCTCCCGGGGCGTTCGGGGACGTCTACAGTGGCGCTCAGCCTCGCCAAATCTGTATCTAGAATGAGGGGCTCAGCTGGGTGCGGTGGTGGCATTAGGACTTCTTCACTAGTGTGACCCCCATAAGATAGCCGCTGGAACGCCGGCACCCTTTGGTTCTCTCGCCGGTGAGCTCGCTCCTTCAAGACTACCCGCAAGTCCTCTGAACGAGCGGAGTAGAAATACCTCGACGTCGTCGCCGGACGTGAGGAAATGTAGGTACTATCTTGCGTGCTTGACTTCTCTACAGGCGCGTCGGAATCTCCAACCCTGTAACTTCTGGTGATCGAAAGGGAGGGAGTGTACCTCTGGCTCTAACTGCCTGAACGGCGTGGTTGGGTGCGTTTACTGTGGTCTCCCACTCCAGCAACACCCTTCCCTTTGACATGCTGCTTGAGATCTTCCATATCTGCCGCCATTCTTCGGATGACGGCATCTTCAACTTGTGCTCCAGACGTCTGGCGTGTGAATCTCTCCACCGCCGGTGTCCGTCTGGGCTCCAAGAATGACCGAAACTTCTTCTGTGCTTATCCTGCGCGTCTCTTGAATGTCCTTCTGGGGAAGTGTCCAGGTTCGCCATGGGAGGAATGGCGGGGAGTCCATCTCTCCGTCTGGCTGACTCCGGGGTAACACCGTCGATGGCAGACAACGGTATTTCGTCGTTATTTGCCATGGAAGGCGATCAGATGAGCTTGGAAGACAAGGTTTTGTCTATCAAGATTCCCACAAACGACGCCAATTGTATGGGGAGCAAATATTCCGCGCGAGCCCGTACTCCTTTCTTCCAAGCTCCTGTCTGTCCGATCGACCTGCGAGCATAACGGTGGTGAGCTACCCGGCGATGTGTGGCCGGAAAACCCCTCCGATGGCCAAGTTAGCACACACTTAGGGATAGAGAGAGAGAGGAGAGAGTTGAGTGTTCAAGTGTTTCTTACCAAACGATCATCCATCCAAGCATGGGGGCGCAGACACGCTTATATACCTTCTGCGCCCTAAATCTACTCCCATTAGTCTCTCGACACGTGGTGCTGCTATCCCATATGTCAGCACAAATCCAGCAATCATCACCTAACCAAACTGTCTAGATATCTTGGCGGAGCCCGGCAAACTGTCGGAATCACCTCGGCCTCACACGCCCGTGCTGCGCCGCATGCCCGAATGCTCACTAGTCGAGCTCCATACCGACCAAGCTCGGTTGCATCCCGACAAAGCTGAGTTCGAGACAGGTCAAGCCGGTTAACCGAAGGCCTTCCCTGATGAGCTAAACGCACGAACCGTGGAAGCTGGAATGGCAGGCAATCATCTCGATCGAGCAACTCAAGTAGCCCGGTTCAACACGGTCTTGGGCCTTAACCGAGCAACACCATCTCCAGGCAAGCCCAAGTTATCATGGCTCGCACACGCTCGGCCCTCAATTTGCCCGGCCCTTTCCATGGCCCATTTCCAGCTCATAAATCTCCCTTTCACTATTCAATAAATCATAAAGAATTTAAATTTGAAATGAATGGTTCGGATTTTCGAGATCAATCTCAAAATAGATCCACTATGTCTAAACACTATCTAAAGTTGAGATGATCAAATTGAGAGAATTTAAATTTTTTCTAAAGTTGCAATGGCCATATTTGATTTGATTTTCTAAAATTTGTTTCAGATACTTTTTTTTAAAGACTAAAACTTAGGCCTCGTTTGGGAATAGGCTAATTTAGTAACTTTTTGGCTATTTGGCTAAACTATGAGCTAAAAAAAACTAGTATGTTTGGGATGACTTTTTGGCTTTTTACGAAAAGATGTGCAAAAAGTAGAGAGAAAAAAGAATCTCTGACTTTTTGGTATGGGTTGTTGGCTTTTTGGCTAATTTAGTAACTTTTTGACTATTTAACTAAAAATGAGGGTTCCCAAACGAGGCCTTAGGCTAAGTTTGGGAAGATAAGAAAAAGTCAAAAAGTCAAAAAGTTACTCAAAAAGTTAAAAAGTTAACACTATTCACCAAAAGTCAAAAATTACGGCTGCACAATTCCCAATCTTAATTTTCCCTTACAAACTAATTTTTACAATTTTTTAATACACATTTTTCTATAAAAAATCAAAAAGTTAACCCAAACATCCATATTTTTTTCCTCAATTTTTTAGTCTAAAAAGACAAAAAGTACACTTATTTGGGACGTCCCAAAAACCCCTTAGTTTCATTAAAAAAAATTAAAATTTAAAAATATTTATCAATGTTATATAATTTTATAAAAGATAATTTTTACAAAATTTAAAAATAAAAACTAAAAAACAGACTCAAAACCAAACAGGACCTTAATTTTTAACTTCACTCACAAATTCTCCTCTTTTTTTGCTGGTACCTAGGGCAAACACGATCTCTCTCCACGATGTTTGTTTTGCACAGTACAGTCGTTCTCTTACGATTAGAAGTTCTCAACCTCTCACAATTGCAAGTCCACCCAAAAATTTGTCGACCATTAGGTTTATGCCATTTGTTGTTGCTATGCTACCCCATCGCTGCTTCATTCTGGCTCGGTAAGTTCGTCTCTTCTTTGCTCTGCTTCTCTCTCTCTCTCCCCCTTTTGCTTCTCTCTCTCAATTTCTTAACTGAATCTCTGGTTCCCTATCTGTTTTGTATTTCCTTCAATTTTCAGTTATTTATTTTCTTGTCAAGGGTTCCTAGAATCTTTTTTTTTTTTATCAATTAATCTAGAGATCTAAAATTAACTTTAGCAGTAGAAATAATTGAAATAACATTTCTTTCATATTGAAATTCACCTCTTTTGCACGTTTGGCTAAAGTTCTTAATCAATTGAATGCATGTAGGATTCAATTACATGGCTTCAAAAAAAAATATTCATATTTAGGAATCTGTTACTACACTCGGCAATTACCTAAATAGGCTATGATAGGAAGAAGTAATTGTCAAAAATTGCTGATCATGATAACAACGCCAATAACATTCTAATTATATGTTTTGTTGTCTACTGCTTTGCCTTCTGTTTTTGTTTAAAATCCTTATCTGATTATTTAGGATGTACATTGTGTGCTTCCTTAATTTTGAAATGCACTGGCACTAGTTTTAATGCTAGACCCTTTGGATTCAATGATGTGGTCAATTCCATGAAACAAATCTCATCCACAATAATAATATAAACTCACTAAAATGTCTATAACTTTGAATATGATAATCCCCTTGGAAAACTAGTGTAATTGACAATAACTACACAATCAAAACAAATACACATACATATATATATTTAGACCATCCGGAAAGGGGCTATGTGCCTGTTTGGCAGAACTTAAAAGCAGCTTATTTCAGCTTTCAGCTTAATTTAAGCTATTTTGATGTGTTTGGTTTAGCTTATAGCTTTTTAAAAGTCAGAAATCAGCTTATTCTTTGAGTGGGACAGGAGATGCTTAATTTATAAATCAGAAATCAACTTATGTTCATAGTTATAAGCTATAAGCTGTTTAGGCATAAGCTATAAGCACTTTCCCACAGCTCTACCAAACAGGGCTTATATCCATGAACCATTTTGGTAGAGATTTTTCATAAAATGAAATAATTACTGCATTGAATTTAAAATGGGAGTTGCATCCCCCCCGGCCCCCCCTCCCCCCCCCCCTCCCAAAAAAATAAAAATAAATAAATAAACTATTCCCTAGCCTATCAAAACCATGGGCATCGATCTGTTAGAAAGGAAGCAACCTTCAATTCTCTGGCACAACTGCTAAGATATTGTTTAATGCCATCTAATAAATCATTCTCTAGGTTATCCACCAATATGGAAGCATCAATTTGTCTATGAATTGGTCGGCTTTGAGTGATGGACACCTTGTAATTCAATTTGGTTCCCATTATTGATTTCTCAAGATCTTGATTGTTTGAGAAATTTCTTATCTGCATTTTTACTCCCTACTTACAATGATGGTGTGATAGTGTCTGTCCACCATCATTATGACTAGTGAGTGAAAAATAAGGTGGTGTCCATAGGTGGACTCCATCAATATTAGGTACATTATTCTTCTGATAATATGCATAAATTATATCAATGAACTATCAAACTGGAAAGGAGAAGCTACCAAGTAGCACTTGATTCAAAAGAATAATCAGTCTTTACTAGGCATTTCAATGGTAAGAGAGGGATGAATTATGCCAGTGCTGTTTGCACAATTTTGTTTCCTTGTCTAAACATTGAAATTATGACAAAATGGGTGAGGATTGTTCATATAAAGAAACCGAGTAGGAACTAACATGCTCAGATGTTTTAGCATTTCCATGTTGATATTAGCCTGTCATTCTTGTTTCTCTTACCATATGACTATATTAGTGGTAAACTATTTTTTTGCTATGTATTATAATAATAATAAAAAAGCCAACGATTTCTTTCATATAAAATTCTTCATGAGCTGTTGTTCACAGTGCCAACATGTTTTGTTTATTATCCTAGAACTTGAAATATTAATTTTTGAATTCATTTACTAAAAAAAGTAAAATATTTGCTTAGCGATGTAGTCTCAAAATGGGTTTTATTAACAAAATTTTGTTTCATTGTCAGATTTAAATCTAACCATCAATTTTATGGTATGGGTCTGTTTTCTTAAATTGCCTGCACAGTTGATTTTATATGTTCCTTGATATTATTTTGTATTATTTTCCTTGAACGCTTGGACTGTTGGATCACTGCACCTATGGGAACTCACAAAACTCTCTTTCTTGAAAGCCATGAGGTGGCATTTTCCAGATCCATGACCAATAAGTCCAAGGCCTGACCTAAGTTTAGACATGATTAATATCATCCTACTTAAACTCATAATGTAAGTTTAAATTTTAATTACTGACAATATTAATAATTAGAACTTGCTTCTTTTTTGCCTTCTTAAATGTAGGTTGTTGAAGATGGATATTATGATCTTGCGCAAGTGCTGATTGGATATGAGTAGCAGGCTTATTCACTTTGCATATTCACGTGGATATTGTTCAAATTGGGATTGATTCGAAAAACATCAATTTTCATGCATGAATCACATCTATACATATATTCATGCACAAATAATACGAGAACACCCAACAATGGCTCTGATACCAATGTAGGAAAGATAATATAGTGAAAATAAACGGATTCAGGCATGCCTTTTAAGCTCAAACCGAATCCAATGATCATGTGGGTGAATCACATGTCTCCATTGATGTCCTCAAACAATTTCCAACAATGGGATAGGACTACTAGAGAACTACTCTCACTATTCACAGTACAAAGGCTATTTTGTGTTTCTATGGAGAGAAAAGAAAGAGAGAACAAACTAGGAGAGACAAACTACACGTATAACTTACCCATACGGTTAAATCAATCTCACCATATAATGCGTATGTTATTATGAGAGACATATAACAACTCACAATTCTATCTCCTGAAAAAGATGAGATAGTGAGTCATTCACACTTATTTTCAAGATAAATTAATCCAATTCTACTTTGACTCGGTCTCTCATTATGGGTCTTGGGTCATGCCACATTGGGTGACCCAATTGGGTATGTATTCTAAATCTGACCCAATTTTTAACAAAAATTACACCAATCTAATAATCGTAACTTATTTAATTTATCACATTTGTATAAAAAAAATAAATATATGTATTTATAAAAATAGACCATTTATTTTTTTTATTTTCAAATGCAATAAATTGAATAAATTATTATTATCGGATTGACCAATTTTTTGTGTGTAAATAATATACATAGAAAATTTTACAGCATAACATTTTAAATCATTAAAATGGGAGTCGTGATGGGCCCTACGAATCAAAGCAATGCTCTCCAATTTAAATTATGGTCTAAAAGAAAGAATATATTACTAATTTTTAAAATGAAGGGATTCTATAATGAATAGAAACTTTTGATCTTGAAAAAATAAGATTTGATCATACTCTCCAAATTTAAATGGATCATTCATATATTAACAATATATTACTTATTTTTTACAAAATATATCACATTTTAATACTTAACAATTTGAAGATTTGACCATCACATTTTAACTGGTATCCTATATTTATTTTTTTAAAGAATAAAATAAGATAAGAAAAATTACATAATTCAATGATAAGATTCGAATTTAGATATCATGTTTATTTTTGAAAATGCTAGTGTCACTGAAACCATTCACCAGTCATTTACTACCATCAACCATGGAATCGATCCGCCATCATTTAGTGATTGCTAATAATCAATTTTGTAATCGCCTTGGATAATTCTACTCACACGTTCTATTTTAGTATATATTATTTGTGCGTTTTAAGATATTAAGTTTTAAATAGATTCTAATTGTTTAGATATTAACTTTTGAATAAAAACTGAAATTGTTTAAACATAAATTTTGTCAGATAGCTAATATTTGAATAATTAATTTTTTATTTGAAAATTAATATCTGAACATTTATTCTTTGTCTAAAAATTAATATTTTAATAAGAAAAATAATGTCAACTTAGATAAAATATGGTGTGTATATAAAATAGGTGATGCTATGGTACACATTCCTCAAAATGCGTGTACAATATGTATCATTATTACTCATTTTTTTGGTATATATTATGAATATTTATTGTAAATATTACGTATTTTTTTTATATAACAGTATGTGGTTTAGAAATAAAATTATGCATCTTAGGATAATGTCACACATTTAGATAAAAAATACGTAACGTAATCATAAAATGTATAACATTATCACAAAATACATAATTTCATTTCTAAACTATAAATTGAAACAACTCTACCAAAAAATTAGATAATATTTATCTAAAAACATATGATATATATTACAAAAATACATAACAAGTTCATATAGTGTACACCATTTCCCTATAGAGTTACACAAATGTTAAAGAGGGTTTGTGTGATAGTAAAATTGGGCCTACCATTGTTCAAAAGTCCAAACCCAAAAAAGATCATCCAAACACAACACTACACAACCCATGAAACACTATAAACAACTTGTGGAAAACAATTTGGATGCGACTTCACACTCTCTTCCCCTCCACAGACACACAAATATGAATTATCCAATCCCTCTCTGCCGCTCCTCTCTCTTCTCCATCTATCCTTTCTCCTCAGCCCAAACCCTCCCCGCTTAACACCCCTCTCAACAAACAAAACCAAAAAGGAATCGCCATGATTATAAACCTCTCATCCTCTCACCCATCTTCTTTCTTTATCACCAAATTGATCAATTCAAGGTCACCCATCTCAGATTTCCCTCTTAAATCCAATACCCACTTCTCCAAATCACGTCTTTCTTCAATATGTGAATCTCTTTCTCCCAATTTCCATTGTAAGAATCAATTTTTGTATGGAAAGAGGCTCTGATACTATATTTAGTTGGGAGAAGACCAAATTTTAGGACTTGGGCGTTTTCTGGATTTGAGAGTGCTCAGCCAGTTTTAGAGGCAGCTGCCGTGTTGACAGCTATCATTGTTGTTCATGAAAGTGGTCATTTTTTGGCTGCTTATCTTCAAGGCATACATGTAAGTAAATTTGCTATTGGGTTTGGTCCAATTTTAGCTAAATTCAATTCCAAGAATGTAGAGTACTCTGTTAGAGCATTTCCTCTTGGTGGTTTTGTGGGATTTCCTGATAATGATCCTGAGAGTGATATTCCTGTAGATGATGTAAATTTGCTTAAGAATAGACCAATCTTTGATAGGGTTCTTGTTGTTTCAGCTGGTGTGATTGCCAATATAGTATTTGCTTATGTGATAATCTTTGTGCAAGTATTGTCTGTTGGATTGCCTGTGCAAGAGGCTTTTCCTGGGGTGCTTGTGCCTGAGGTTCGAGCCTTTTCGGCTGCTTCCCGAGATGGGTTGCTCCCGGGTGATGTTATTCGTTCCATTAATGGGATTCGATTACCTGAAATAGGGCCTAATTCGGTTTCTCAGGTTGTTGATGCCATTAAGAAAAATCCCAAAAGAAATGTGTTGCTCAAAATTGGGAGAGGAGAGCAGGATTTTGAAATTGGAGTAATCCCAGATGAGAGTTCAGATGGTACAGGTCGAATTGGAGTTCAATTATCTCCAAATGTTAAGGTTTCGAAGGTTAGACCAAAAAATTTCATAGATGCTTTGAATTACACTGGACGCGAATTCTGGGGTCTGACATCCAATGTTTTGGACAGCTTAAAACAGACTTTTCTTAATTTTTCGCAATCAGCCAGCAAAGTTTCAGGTCCTGTTGCTATTATTGCTGTTGGTGCTGAAGTTGCAAAGTCAAATATTGATGGGCTTTACCAATTTGCAGCGATTCTCAATCTTAACCTTGCGATAATAAACCTTCTTCCTTTGCCTGCTTTGGATGGGGGTACTTTGGCCTTGATTCTCATAGAGGCAGCCAGAGGTGGGAGAAAGCTCCCTTTAGAGTTAGAGCAGCGTATAATGTCATCGGGGATCATGCTTGTTATAATTCTTGGGATATATCTTATTATCCGTGACACACTTAACCTTAATTTTATCAAAGATTTGTTGTGATTACTTGTGTAGCCTGAAGGTTGAACACAATTCGAGTAGGAAGAACTTTCCAAAGGGATTGGCATGAAATGAGGCGTGGATGCTGTGGTTGCTTGGCATGGTTTGTTTCTTCTACAAAGACATTATGTGGCTGGTTATCTTTAGCTCCTCGTTCTTAATCTGTTTCAGCCAAAATGGAATTCCTCATTTTCATATAAGCCTCATTGTTTATGCTATTGGTAAGGTTATCACCTGTGAGAAATTATATGGATATGTTTAAAATAGCATTCCTTTATGGTCCTCAGTTCTTATAGCTGTTGAATTCAACAAGTTGGAAGTATTCTGATGATAGCTTTCCTCCGGTGTTAGATAATCGAAAATTTAAGAAGACAAAGGGAGAGAACTTTGGCTATTTGTCAGTATAATCTTTCCTATTACTCTCTCTCTCTCTCTCTGGTTATAATTTTTGAATACTTTGACATGAAATTATCATTTATACTATTCTTGTAAATTTGGTGAAATTAGCTACTTAAAGGTCTTGATTTTTCTGGTTGATGCATTTCTTATTTTTGGACACTTATGTGCTAATATGTTGCTCCTTGTAGCAGATCAAAAACTGTATATGTTGCTCCTCGTTAACAATTCCTGAATTATTTTATTTCTTTTTTTTCTTTCAATAGTGTCTGCATTTTCAAGTGATGTATATGTAGTGCAAGTAATGGATATCATTTTTTCTCGAACATGTGTATTTATCATTCATCAAGGCTTTTGGATACAATTTTTATTTTATTTTATTTTTATTTTTTTGCAAGCAGGAGAATCAATTCAAGAGTTTGAGCTTAGGATCATGAATTGAAATAAGTAAAAATAAAACAAAACCTTTACTATATATGGAATGCTAAGCATGTGATAAGAGCTTTGTTTATTAAACTTAAGGTCCAAGGTTCAAGTCCTACTCTTGTTAACGCTCCAATTTTTTTATTTTTTATTTTTTCAAATAGAAAAATGAGACCATGTGGTATAAGGAGAAGCCATCAAAGTTTGGACACCAAATGAGTTGTTCACTTTTAATAATAGTATAAATAAATAAATAAATAGTACTATTTAACTTTTGTGGTTATTGCTTAGAATCATGTGTTTTGAAGCTCTTCTAGGAATTTCTTTTTTTTTTCTTTTATTTTTTGTTAGTGAGTGTTTCATTACCAAAAATGGAAGGTACACAATTGAGCTCCATACAAAGCCCTTACGGAAACACACAAGGCGAAAGCCTCTAGCTCCAAGAGGCAACAAAACAAAGCCATTTGAGATGTCAATTCTATTTTAAGGCTTATGTGGAAATTTGGCATCTTCAAAGCTAACATTTCTAAAAATAAGTACATCGCCATATGTGCCATATTTATTATTTTTATTATATTATATTGGAAAAGGTAATCCCCTTGTCAGATTATTTTTCAAGCTTTCGGACAAAAAAACCCACTTGTTAATAGTGCCATGTCAAAATTGACATCTTGGCTGGAGATGCTCTGAAGGCCTAGACTACATAAAAATAGAACCATGACTACTTGGGGAGCTTAGGTAAAAGAAATAAATTCTCTTTCATAATTCAAGAGGTTAGTGAGCTAACTAATAGTGCTACGTCCTTGCTCATGCTTAGGGAAATTATGATCGTTGCTAGTCTAGGAAGCTTATTACTAGGCTTTCTTGCTTCAACCATCATATTTCAAGAAAATTTTGCTCAAGACAACTTCAAGGTATGGATTTTCTATTTTAGTTTCTTCTTGCTTTCATCTCTTGAATCGGAGACACTTGCAACGGTATCTTCACATATGATACAATACAAGCATTGGCAAAACTAGAGTCAAGTACACCAAATTTGTCAGTGATTGCAGTAGGAGTACAATTTTTTGGGCTCGTTATCTGTGTCTTCTTGAACAATCCTTTTTGGATGGGACTCCACCAAATCTTTTTTTTTTCGGTGGTTGTTCAACATCTCCTTTTTCATCTACTCTTGCTTGATAAAATTTGTATGTTGTGAAGATGAAGGCCAAGCTCCTTGACAGCGACCATAGATCTTGTAATTTACAACTTGTTGGCCTACATGAGGTTTCCACCATAATTTCGAAGGGTTCCCCATAGCATAAGTCAAGCTTAAAGATTTGGGAATGTCATAAAAGGCTTGGATTTCTACACAAATCCGAGCATAGTTATTAAGAATAGATGAATATAACAACTTGGAATCAAGCCTTCTCATGATAGCCCTTTTTCTGTTTTCAAGTCCTCCCATGATGGCCCTTTTTTTTGTTTTGCATTATAGGGAACTTCATCTGTTACTTAAATTGTCAATATAAATATTTTCTATATTATTTTTATTGTTTCCGAATTCTTGGCTATTTTGATAATGAATTTGTCGTCTTTATGGTTCTTGTGACTTTAGTGACATTACATAATCTACCCAGAAAAAGGGCTGTTAACCACTTGAAAGGTCGAAAGTTTTGATGCTTTTTTTGATTAAGAAAAGTTAGGTAAACAAAATAATCCGTATTTTTTCTGCGGCTAAATTCTGTGCATGTAGAACTGATGCCTTGGATTTCTTTTCGCCCCAAATATGTTTTTTCAAGTCCTCCCATGATGGCCCCTTTTTTTTTGTTTTGCATTATAGGGAACTTCATCTGTTACTTAAATTGTCAATATAAGGGCTAGTTTGACATATACTAAATAAGCTAAAAAGTCAAAAAGTCACTATCTTATTTAAGTCACATCATCTTATTTAAATCACATCATCTCTTTAACACATCACATCAAACCCAACCCAAACCCACCAATAAGTCAAAAAGTGCACTTTTTCAGGACATCCCAAACCAACCCTAAATATTTTCTATATTATTTTTATTGTTTCCGAATTCTTGGCTATTTTGATAATGAATCTGTCGTCTTTATGGTTCTTGTGACTTTAGTGACATTACATAATCTACCCAGAAAAAGGGCTGTTAACCACTTGAAAGGTCGAAAGTTTTGATGCTTTTTTTGATTAAGAAAAGTTAGGTAAACAAAATAATCCGTATTTTTTCTGCGGCTAAATTCTGTGCATGTAGAACTGATGCCTTGGATTTCTTTTCGCCCCAAATATGTTGATTGTATTTTTGTTTCAAGGATGTTTCTTGTATTTTCAAATCACCATCAAACTAGGTATTTATCATGGGTCATGAAATCCATATATACAAATTCCTCCTCTGCTCTGGAGTTTGGGTAGTTAAGTAATTTTATTGGGAATTGTAGGGTAATTAGGTTAATTTGCATTTTCTGTTTTAAAAAAAATAAATAAATAATTCTGACAAGCTTGTTTTGTGCAAGGGGGGAAGTGTGCTGTACCCCTCTTTGTGAGCTTTACGATGTGTTTGATTGAGCGATTTGGAGAGGGATTTGTAAAGGAAAAGGGAAAATGTATGTGAAACTAGGTATGTTTTATTCACATTTCACCTTCTTTTTTCATTTCTCTTTCTAAATCTCTCCTCAAATCTCTCAACCAAACACAACATTAATGAGTACAAATTTATTTACACACATATGGACAATACACATCACTTTATTGGTTTATTTTGTACTTTTAGTAGGATCACCTTATTAATTCAATCAATGAGATGGTGTATATTGTTCACCTTATTTTTCTAAACAAGTATTGTTCACCTTGTGTGAACAAATTTACTCTCCACCTTAGTTGTCCACATTACACAAAATACTTTCATTTCCCATGAGTGATATTTGAAAGAGAAGAATTTGTAATTTCTCAAACTTTGACAAACATTTATAAAAGAAACTCATGCACACATATAATAAATAAATTTACTCTAAAAGGACAATAAATAATAGTTTTACACTTTGAAAAGTTTGAAAATACCATCATTTTCATAATTTTTTTTTGTACAAAAAAAATATTTTTTTTAGTATTTTCTAAAAATTAGAATTTAAAAAAATATATATATGATTAAAATAGATTTCAAAAATAAATTATTTTTTTAATGTTTGTAGAAAGTGAACATAATACAAAAGTGATCCTAAACCTAGTGCTTTTAATAATACTACACTTTCATTTTCATATTATATTATATTGATCATCTTATTTGATAATGATTGTTGATATAATGAATCTCACCACTAATACAATAACACATCAAATAATAAAAATAGCAGCTATGTTACATCCCTTCAATATAGCATCACCATTTTGACCCCTAATGGGTGGAAGAGAGATAGAGAGGGATAAAGAAAGGAGAGATAAGGAGTGTGCCCATTCATTAATGCTTTTGGTTGCACCATGCAAATAATTCCCAAGCCTAGAGAGGTATCCAAAGATCACATAATAATATGGGTATAATAAGGGTAAATTATGTTGATATTTTTTAGATGAAAAATGCTAGAGGTCCTAAATTTTCTACCAAGTGAATGATCAAATGTTTCACATGGGTGTAGGGTCCACAAAATTACGGACCCCACACCCATGTGAGACATTTGGTCATTTGTTTAGTAGAAAATTTGGTGTCCCTAGCATTACCCTTTTTAGATTTAAAAAAAATACAATAATTTTTTATAATTTTTACATAATTCTATTAATTTTTATTGTAGTAAGATTAAATTGATTGAAACTAATGGAGATAGTGTGAATGTAAAATAAAAAAATAATTAAAGTATACATTTCAATGTAAAATATATGACAATATCAGTTTTTTTTTTTTTTTCCTATTCATATGACTAAATGAAATGCTAAATAAAAGTATATTAAATGTTATGTGAATTAAAATTTTGAGAGAGCCTAATGTAATTAGGTTAAACTTATTCATTTATTTTTTTTTGTAATAGATCAACATAAGTGGTTTGAGATAATTTAAATAAGTGTATTTTTTGACTTTTTATAAAATATGAGTTGAGTATGGGTTGAATTTGAAGTGATGTAACTTAAATATGATAGTAATTTTTTGACTTTTTACCTTTTTTAAGTAATAATAAAGATTGAAAAATCATATCTAATATTGCGGAATAAAGTTGAGGTTTGCTCATATCCAATTTGAGTTGAGTTGATAGTTACCCGAGTCCAAAAATAACCACCAATCTAAGTTCAACTATCGTAAGTGTCGCCTGAGCTTATTTAACTCGGGTTAGGTTTAAATTACCTAGAGATTTGAGCTAATTATTTTCTTCTTCTTCTTCTTTTTTTTTTCTTTTTCTTTTGAGCTAGGTTGGTTAATTTTTAAAAGTTGGGGCCTATTGAACAAATTTTTTTTTTAATGACAAAATTATGCTAACACTAAAACAGACAACATAACAAACAATTTTTATTATTTTTATTTACCAAAAAAACATGACAAACATTACTATAGCAATACACAAAATGGAAAAATATATTCTTCAATTAGATAGTAAAGAGGGTTGCGTTTCAAATGAGAAAGATGTGATTAGGACTTGTATATGTGAGATGTGAAATATATAAGTTAATGTAATGATCTAAATAACTTTAGCATAGTCCAATGACCAACACAGCCCATAATTAAACGGGCCTGAAATATTGACCCAATGTAGCCCAAAATTTCCCCAAACATTTTTTTGTCAA